TATGCTTAACCTACACCCTATCTATAAAATTATGATTTCCAATGTGCTTAATATATTTCTTCATTCTTGTTTGTAAAACATTCCTTTCACCTAGTCTGCAGATCACAAAAGATAACCAGAAAGTCCCAAGTTTTTCACCCTTCTTTTGTCCCTTCTCCTACCTTTTTTGAGAGGAATTAGTTGAAGAGGGAGGTTTTAATCGCTACTGTTCCTTTTTATCCTAATATTCATAGCTTTAGAAATGGTCAGAATGATCCTTTGGAATACCTGATGTGGAGTGATATCAAATCTGAAGGTACAAACAAATATAATTTGTCGTACAGGTACCATGAAGCTGACATGAGGACAGGAAGAGCAACATTTTGGCAACTTACAAGCCTTCAGGCATTTTGGCCTGGCCTGCAGGTGAACTTTGGTAACTATAACACGTTTTCCGTCTAGAAATTTGAATGGGGAAGGATTCTTTTCAATATTGTTATGGCAGTCAGGTTCTTGTTGGGGACATTGCAGCTGCTAACTCATCACACCGTGAATTTTTCCACGTATGGAATAAATTTGGAGTACTTCCTGAGAGGTAAAATATTTGTTTTTTCATATGGTCTGGTTCTCTTATGGTCAAATGGCTAGTATTGGCTTTCCTGCTATATTGCAATCGTTGATGCTAGCATTGCCACTAATATCCAACTTGTTATGACAATAATAACAAGCTGAGCCTCTTTCTAAGTTAACTTGGGGTAGGCTATAAGTATTCCTTTTTCGACATTCTGTCTTTTCAGAGTTCTCAACTAAAAGGCCTAATTAAATCAAACCAAATCTTATGCAACCATGCTGGGCCATGTTAATTATGAGCGACTCCTTAGAATATGTTATGGTGGGTTTATATTTCTTGTGAGAAAAACATTTTTGTATATCTATAAGAACATGCCTCAAGTAGTTACTGATGCATAAAATTTTTAATTATTAAGGTACCTCCTTGATCATCAGACGCTGCATCCTACAGAAAAATACTATCCTTTACGCCCAGAGTTTGCAGAGTCAACATTTTACCTATATCAAGCAACCAAAGGTTTGTGGAGATTGTATTAAAGTATATTGGAATCTGAACATTTTATGCCTTGGCTTGATGTACTAGTGAAAGGTTGGCCTTCAAATGTGTAATATCCAGGTAATATTATGATGTAAGTGGTTTCACATTAAGTTCTGGTGATAAAGTTAAGACCCCAGACACCCACTTTTAATTTCCGTGGAAACAAGATCAATGTTTTGTGGTCTTTGAGTAGCAGACTGTTGTTTCTATTAATGTTCCAAACCCTCTTGCTTACAAAAGCTGTCCTTGTACAAAGCTTTTATTAGATTATAAGTTGTGTGTCATATTAAATGTGTTGAAAATAAGTGGGTAAAAATAGGTAAAAGTTGTATATCCTACTGAATATGTGGATGAAAATAAAGTTCAATCAGCTTATAAGCAATTATAAGCTTTGCTAAACATGCACAAGACGTAAAACAACAGTATAGAATATTAAAAGGTTAAGTTTTATAATATTTCTTGGGAAATTTGATGTGGGTAAATTAAAACAGCCTTTTATCCATTGTCTTTTTGGCTATAAAATTTTCTTTTCATTCTTCCATTTTCGCCTTTCCCCAGTACTTTAGGTACAGGCAGGGTAAAGTCATTAGCATCAATTTGCAAATGTTTCAACTTCAATTGTCTCAGCGCGGCCAGCCTTGATTTGGGTGCTTTCAATCTTAAAAATTTGCAACAAGTCCTTCATTTTAAAATATTATGCAATTTAAGTTGTGGATAAATATTTATCTCTGCTTCAGTCATTTGACCTTACTTAGATTGTTGACAGATCCATGGTATTTAGAGGTTGGCGAGTCAATTGTGGACTCTCTCAATTTATACACGCGAGTCGAAGGTGGTTATGCGAGCATTCGAGATGTGACAACTATGGAGTTGGAAGATCATCAGCATAGTTTCTTCCTCTCTGAAACGTATACATTTCTTCCGTTATCTGCTATATGACCATACATATCAATGATGTTATTCTGATTATTCCTGCTTACTTGTTCTGTGGTCGTAAAAGTATATAAAAATGTTGGGAAGTTTAACCTGAGCTACTTTTGTTCTGTTCCTGTAGGTGCAAATACCTTTATCTTCTCTTCAACGATTCATTCTTGGCCAATCAAAACTACATATTCACGACTGAAGGTCACCCACTGCCTGTTTTAAGTTCTTGGCACGAGAAGCTTCCAAAGGCTTACATTCTTAGCAACTTTACATCCATTAAGGTGATCCTTATATTCCCCCCTGCAATTCGATTGATTTCTATTCAACTACCTTATTTATCGTCCCAACTACATTGCCGTCTTCTGCTTGTTCTCCTTATTTGCTTTGAATAAATTTAAATCGGATCGTGTACATTCACCTCATTTTAAGTAGACATGTAATGCATTTTGCAAATGTAGTGCTAGTGCTTAGTAAGTGCTTGTTTGGTATTGCTTTTAAGGGGATAAAAAGGTATGTGTGGCAAACTAAATAATTTAAGCAGGGCCAAATTATCCAAGTTATTTTTCTAATATCCTTTATTCTTGTCAACTTTTTCTAAAAGAACAAAGGAGATTCAATATACGATTCAAATTCGGTTTTTGCTCAAGATAATGAGAAATGCGGCTTAACATACTATTCAATTTTGACAATTAGAACTTGTGCTTATGAATCTTGAGTTTTACTCGTCGACATTGAATTGTTTATATGTGCAGAGTGGAGAGCAACCAAAACGATCTAGTGCAATGTCATTGCAAATCTGTCCTGATGCTATGAATGAGTCAGTCGAGAGTGCTTGTCATATCCCGGACACCCGTGCTGATCATAGATGTTTTGCGGATGAGGACTGTGGTGTTGATTCGACCACATGTAGACGAAGGTTGTGCAGTATGGCTGGCTACTGTGGTCTATGGTTGTCAATTTGAGAAGCTGACATTCTTTGGCATTCCTCAGTAAAAGTTGAAAAGTCACAGGTATTTGATACAACTTACAACATAGATTTATGACATTTATTACAGAATACTTGTAACAGAATTTTTGTAAACATATATTTAGATGATTGATGATAAACATTTAGGTGATGAATATAATATTGTCCTTACTTTGACATGATTCCTAGATGGATTAGTCGATATTGCACATGATTAATTGTGAAAAATATTTATGCTTCACATCTCCATACAAATTGACAACACCGCACTTGCGGATGGAGAGGAAATATCAAATTTTTTAATGTTAGTATAACGTATCAAACATGTTGCAATCTTGTTCAATAGTGTTCGACCCGAATAAAATTTGGTGTTGGATGGCCCATTAAAGCTTGTTCAAGTGGCCTGGCACATGAGTGAGCCCACTTCGAAGGCCTGCTTTGATTTTAGAAAGGGAAAATTGTAGCATTGATCCCTAACCTATTTACTTAGTAGTAAACAAGTCCTCAATCTACTTTTTACATTCAAAATCTCAACCTATCATTTATGGGACACCATGGTCTCCAATTGGCTTTATCCTTCAAAAATGCCATTAATGGCCCGTTTAGTATGGCTTTTGGAAGTCAAAATAAGCTATTGAAATTCAAAAGTTACCTTTAGATTTGTTTGATTAATTTTATGAAAATGCTTCTTATAATTAGACGAGCTTTTAGAGGATACTGGTCCAATGTGACTTCTTGTAAATGCAAAATTCTTTTAAAAATTAATTTTCAAATATAAATTATGGAGTTTTTTCCAAAAGTTCTTTTATAAAAAATAAAAGAAAAAGTAAAAGTCATATTAAACGAGCTCTGAGACTCACATGCCACCTTTGATCAGAGGCAAAACTATAGAGGTAACTGTAAATTAATGGATGAAAACCACAATAACAAATCATATCTGTTAACAATATAAGCTTCAAGATATAAATGCAACAAAAATAAAAATAAAAATGAGGACATAAATGTGATAATAAGTAAAGATTGAACACTTCTAGCATGATTAATAAGCGATGCCAAAAAAAAAAAAAAATTGAAGAGAGAGAGAGAGAGGGTAAAAAGTGATGATACAAATGTGACAATGAGTAAAGATTGAAATTGAGAGAGAGAGAGAGAGAGGGTAAAAAGTGAGGATACAAATTTGACAAAGAGTAAAGATTGAACTTTTTAAATATGATTGATAAGTGATGCAAGAAATGAGAATTGTCATTACCTTCCAATCTCAAACCCTATCCCATCTCCTTAGTATGGAGAGCAAAGAGACATCGATTGACTCCCAAATCGATAAAATGAAATATCATATCACCCGCATAAAAATATGATAAAAACAATAAAATTATGGCATTGATTGCTTACAAAGTGTTATTTCCATAATCTTTACAACATCATGAGTCCCAAAGATTAACTATTTTTTTCTGCAAGTAATGTCTCATAATTGAGAAACGATTTAAATATTTGCCATCAAACTTCAAAAAGATCATTTGGTATTGAAGTGCTTTTGTTTAACAGCACGCTTGTCACCTTCAAGCATAGACACATTGACAATCCTTTCATTGCGCCTACCTTTTAAAGTAAAATAAGGTATAACTATTTAAACAATCAACGAGATAAGCAAAACTTAAATAGAAATTGAATTTTGAATATTTTGTGAATTAGTGAGATTTGTTTTGGAGTTTAAAGTTAAACTGATAATGAACTGAGGGTTATCTGTTTTGTATGACAGTATTTTTTGCTTCATTGGAAGAGAAGTGGCGATAATATTGGAATTGTGGGCCCATCACCAGTAAAGGCAGGGAGTTTGGAATGGAGGATGGTGCCAATGCAACATTTGTTTTGGATTCGATTAGGGACTGTGGAGCGACAAAATAATAAGTGTGAGATTCACTGCCAAAAAAAAAGATTAGGTACCTATTTGTCACTAAGTGAATAGTTTGAGGAATAATACTTCAATTCCCCTTTTATAAACCAACCATTCCAGTTCCTCTTCCTATAAATAAGGTTACACGAGACATTTGCGTTTCGCCATTCCCATAATTACTCTCTGAACATTTTTTTTTTTTTAAATAACCATTCTTAATCCCGCCACCACGACCGCCGCCGTTGCCACCACCACCTCTTCCGCCTTCTCTCCTCCGTGCAAGTACCTATGCATTCTTCTAAACTCTAAACATAAACATAAATTTTGTAGTTTCACCATTTCTTCAGACCCACTAAATTTTCCAGAATTAAAGCATTAATCAAAGTTATACAACAATCTATTCATTTTTGTTAATTTTTTTGGGTTCTATATTCGTTTTGAGGAGAAGGGTCCGCTAATGTAATCATTCATGGCGGACATAGTGAAGCAAATCTTAGCAAAACCAATTCAATTTGCCGATCAGGTGATAAAAGCCTCAGGGGACACCAGCTCTTTCCGACAGGAATGCCTCGAAATCAAGGTGAAAACCGAGAAACTCGCCGGGCTTCTCCGGCAAGCTGCCCGTGCCAGCGGCGACCTGTACGAGCGTCCGACCCGGCGGATTATCGACGATACTGAACAAGTACTCGATAAGGCCTTAACCCTCGTGTTCAAGTGCCGGGCCAATGGATTGAGAAGGGTTTTCACAATTATCCCCACAGCAGCATTCAGAAAAACCTCTCAACAATTAGAAAACTCCATTGGTGATGTTTCGTGGCTTCTTAGAGTCTCGACCCCGGCCGATGATCGCGACGATGAGTATCTCGGGCTGCCACCAATCGCGGCAAACGAGCCGATTTTGTGCTTGATTTGGGAGCAGATTGCGATTTTGTGTTCGGGTTCATTAGAAGAACGCTCTGATGCAGCTGCTTCGCTTGTTTCGCTGGCTCGTGACAATGATAGGTACGGTAAATTGATCATTGAAGAAGGTGGGGTTGCACCATTGTTGAAATTGGCTAAGGAAGGTAGAATGGAGGCTCAAGAAAATGCTGCAAGGGCAATAGGGCTATTAGGCAGAGACCCTGAAAGTGTGGAACCCATTGTTAATGCTGGTGTTTGTTCAGTTTTTGCTAAAATTCTCAAAGAAGGGCATATGAAAGTTCAAGTTGTGGTGGCTTGGGCTGTATCGGAATTGGCTGCACATCATCCGAAATGCCAGGATCATTTCGCTCAGAATAATACGATAAGATTGCTTGTTAGTCATCTAGCGTTTGAGACGATTCAAGAACATAGTAAGTACGCTATTGCGAGCAACAAACAAGCCATGTCGATTCACACTGTCGTTATGGCTAACTCCAGTCCCATGTTGAATGAACAGACGAGTACTAACGACGATGAGTTTCATAGCGCGATCTCTCATCCTACAGGGAATGATGCGACAAGCCAAATGCACAATGTCGTGGCGAATACTATGGCTATGAAGTCGAACGTGCCCTCCAATGGGAACGTCCAGCTTCAAGCGAACAATCCCAAGGCGAATAATAAGAACACGAAAACTACTCAAAATCACGTACAGCAGCAGAGGCACCAAGTTGCATTGACAGGAACTAGCATTAAGGGGAGGGAATTTGAAGACCCTGCTACTAAAGCAGAAATGAAGGCCATGGCTGCTAGGGCCCTGAGATACCTTTGTGCAGGGAACAATACTATTTGTCATAGTATAACTGAATCCCGCGCACTTTTATGCTTTGCGGTTTTGTTGGAGAAAGGCCCTGATGAAGTTCAACACAATTCAGCCATGGCATTGATGGAGATTACTGCAGTAGCCGAGCAAAATTCAGAATTGAGGCGTTCGGCTTTTAAACCTACTTCACCGGCTGCTAAAGCAGTAGTCGACCAGTTCCTACGAATCATCAATAAAGCCGACTCGGAACTCCTCATTCCGAGCATCATATCCATTGGGAATTTGGCTAGAACTTTTCGGGCAACTGAAACAAGAATCATTGGTCCATTAGTGCAGCTCCTCGACGATAGGGAACCTGAGGTTACAAGTGAGGCTGCAATTGCGTTGAGCAAGTTCGCGTGTACGGATAATTTTCTCCATGTCAATCATTCAAAGGCCATAATTGATGCAGGAGGAGCTAAGCACCTAATTCCATTGATATACTTTGGTGAGCAAATGGTACAAATTCCTTCATTTATATTACTATGTTACCTTGCATTGCATGTACCAGATAGCGAAGCGTTAGCTCAAGAAGACGTGCTCATCGTGTTGGAATGGGCGACGAAGCAGAATCATCTGATGCAGGATTCAGCGATCGAAAACTTAGTTTTTGAAGGGAAAAAGAGATTGGAACTCTACCAATCCAGAGGCTCCAAAGGGTACCTCTGATTTTGATCACATTGTATAGATTTGGCTTCTTTAAGGTTAAGTTTTCTTCTATCTCATTTGGGTGCATTACAGAGAGTTAGACTTGTCAATTGTGTAGCATAGTATTTATCATTCTTGTGGTTATTGTAAACATTCTTTGTTTGAAATAACAAAAATATGTGTCCACTTGCAATTCTATTATGTTTGGTAAAACTTTTTGCAGGTTAGAAGTTGCGGTAGTTCTTACGAAATGTGTAGATAATGAGCTTATAAGTTAAGCCCCTGTTTGGGAGAAATTTTCATACCGCTACTGCCATCATTTTTTACTTCATTCTCAATAAAAGCCAAACACTGGAACCCACTTGCACTTTGTAACGGTGTAAAAATTGATTTTAATCTTATAAAAAGTGGAGCCCGACAACGATTAAAAAAGTTATGGCTCTTGCCTCCAACCCCTTGTCAAATGTGCTGGTCAACCTTGCTAGATAGGTCGGCCTTTACTCACATTGACCTATATTCTCGACGAAAAATCCCAATGCCAAGGTAGGCTTGACGGTTTACACATCTACACATACATGATTAATTTAGGAGTCGAGAAGAACATAAAAAATGACTATTACTCGAGATAATGATAGATGTAAGAATTTTAACTTTACTATAACTGATGCTGGGTAAATTTCACCTGCAGTGAATTATTTTTATTTATTTTAAAAAGAAAAAAGGTACATAAAGGGCTTGTTTGACAGGACTCTTAAAAAAAAAAAAAGGATATTAAGCTCCCATTTGATTTGGATCAAAATCTTGATAAAAGTTAATAAAAATTGTGAATTCATTATATCTGTAATTAAAAATGAGTTTGAGAAAGAAAGAATTTTAAAATATAGATGACAAATAGGGAATAAGGAATTATTTTTAAATGTGTTTGGATAATTTTTTTTTTGAAAGTGCTTTGCCAAGTTAAAAAGGGCTTTTGAAATAAATTTTTTCCAGCCCCGACACCAGGCCACCGACTCGACTGTGGTCACTCGAGGCAAAATCTGTGCATGAGAGCACGTGGGACTTCTTGTGTGAGGTGCAAGTGCGTGCCACCGGGGACCTCTGGCAATAGAGAGGTGTGGAACATGTTATACTGATATGACCGCTAATCACAACAAGACAAAGTGTCCTTAGGCCCATGGGCCTAAGGCCCATTTTTCAGTTTGAAACTTATTGGGCTTTAGAATTGAGGGTTCGGATCTCAATGAATGTGTTTATGAAGATGTAATGGTGGTGTTTGGTTCGATCATACAGTATTTTAGGAAATAAAAATTTTGTACCGTCCAATTTTGTACTCTTAATCAAACTTGCCTAGTATTAATGTTATTATCTTGCGAGTAATTTGTGGTGAAATGTTTTTGGATTGATGATTTGGTCGCTTAATTGCATTGGCTCTTTTTTTTCTCGTGGCTGAACAAAGTGGCCACTTGAAGCCCTAATTCATCCCCGTTTCTATTTGTTTCGTCAATTTTTACGTCAATCTTTATTAACAAATTTTACAATTCATTGAACAATTCCTTTATTAGAGAACTACTTGAAGGAGGTTTTTCGGTTCTTCCATAATTCCCCGACATCATAAATCAAATAAGTAAGAACAAGAAACTTATACTGATTAAGCGGAAAGCTGATCTTCAAGAGGAAGTTTTAAAGACGGAAGTAGAAGAGATCGTAGAATTCTTAGAGCTTTCATATTTGGTAGACAACATGTTTAGGGTAAGGATTCTTCTCTCAAATCTTTTTCTGTAAGGTGACATAAGAGAGAGATTCGAGTGTATATAGACATCAAATGGCTCTAATACGAACGTGTGTGTGAATTCAAAATCGAGGTATTCCCAGCCCACACACAACCCCCTTCATTGACAAACAAGAAAGAGCTTGGACTCTCATAATTATGGTTCACCCAGGTTGAATCTTTTGTTCCACAGTGTGATCTCTAATGTCAATGATTTTTAAAAAAAGCAATTACAAAACTTACTAACAGCTTGTTTGGGAGCGATTTTTTACTCCAAAAAATTGATTTTTTTTTTTACCGTTATTTCACTGTTTCAATTGTCATATTTGATTTCTTCTCTCACAAGTGGATCCCATTTTTCTCCTAACGGTCAAAAAATCAATTATTAAAATCACTCTCAAACAGTGAAATAACGGTAAAAAAAAAATCAATTTTTTTGGAAGAAAAAATCACTTCCAAACAGGCTGTAAACAATATAATACAGATTCACAAACAAGTTGATAAACAATTCATTTATCTTTATAATATTTTGCTTGTGTCTAATCAAAAATCTTGACTAAAACTCTTGGTTTGTTATGTTACGTGAATGATGTCTATTCTTTCTACACGAAGTATTGAGTAGTACGACACGTTTAGATTTTATTATTGATATTTCAAAACTTCACACGGAAAGGAAGATTCATTTTAAGTACCTGTTTGACTGACTGAATATTCATCATTTTATGATTTCATAATAGTGGGTCCCTCATAATTTGCAGCTTTCGAATATAAATCAAAATATTTAAATAAATAATCAAATAGCATTGTTATTAAAAAAAGGTTGAATCTCAATCTTGAGAGCCCCCATCGTCTCGTCCCTAGAGTTTTGTGACAGAGGTAAATTGCGGGATGTGCCCCAACAGACCAGGGAACAAAAGTTGTCTGTACACTGAGCCTACAAAGAGTCTAATTCCATGTTTCAAGAATCGAACCCCCACACTGCAGCTACCAGCAAGGCGTGAGATAACTTCACTCCTGTCCTTTGCACTACTAGATTACGCCCCCGGGGGCAATAGCATTATTATTAATTATGTCGGACTGTTGGATTTTGTTTAGTTGTCTGGTGAGTATTTAAGGGTATAATAAATAGAGAGTGCTTTTCCATTTTACTTTTAAAAGAAAAATTTGCAAAAAATGATTAAATTTAAATCAAAGTCAACAATTAATTAACAACACAATTAATAGATATACGACTTTTCAACAGTTGCAATTGACTATCTCTTAACTTTTTTGGATAATTTTAAGAATAATGCAACAATAATTTTAAATTTGAACCTTGTAATTGTTTAAATTTATAAACAAAATAATAATAGTACACAAGAGTAGTAAAAATGAGTCTTGCATAATCTATTCATAAAAACACTCGCTGGTCGACATATAAAACTTATAAATATAATAAATGAATTTGTCGTCCATTTTCTTTAATAGCTCAAGAATTTTTTACGAAATGGTCTAACAATTGATTCGTTATGTGATACAGGGTGGTTGAGGTGTTTCAAGGTCATTTCCCCGCTATCACTTGTGCTTGGGTGTAAGAATCGATCTTCTTCCTCGTCTTTGTAGAAGATAGGAGGCTATAAACGTTTAGTTCTACTTTGGTGAGCAAATGGTATTCTTTTATTCAATACTTCGGTGAGCAAATGGTACAGATTCCTTCATTTATATTACTATGTTACCTTGCATTGCATGTACCAGATAGCGAAGCGTTAGCTAAAGAAGACGTGCTCATCGTGTTGGAATGGGTGACGAAGCAGAATCATCTGATGTAGGATTCGAAGATCGAAAACTTAGTTTTTGAAGGGAAAAGAGATTGGAACTCTACCAATCCAGAGGCTCCAAGGGGTACCTCTGATTTTATCACATTGTATAAATTTTGGCTTCTTTAAGGTTAAGCTTGCTTCACTCTCATTTGAGTGCATTATAGAGAGTTAGACCTTGTACTTATTGTAAACATTCTTTGTTTGAAATAACAAAATATATGTCAACTTCCAATTCTATTATGTTTGGTAAAACTTTTTGCAGGTTAAAAGTTGAGGTAGATCTTACAAAATGTGTAGATGCTAGATAATCAGCTTATAAGTATAAACGCCTGTTTGGGAGAAATTTTCATCCAAATTTTAATCATTTGTTGTACCACTGCTACCGTCATTTTTGACTTTCTTCTCAATAAAAACCGAACACTGGGACTCGCTTGCACTTTGCAACGGTATAAAAATTGATTTCAATCTTATAAAAAGTGGAGCCGGTTAAAAAAGTTACGGCTCCTGCCTCCTACCCATGTCAAATGTGCCGGTCATCCCTCCTAGTAGGTCGACCCTTACTCATATTGACCTATATTCTTGATAAAAAATCCCAGTGCAAATTCATCCAATTTATCGTACTCGTGCCAAGATAGACTTGACGGTTTACACATTTACACATACATGATTAATTTAGAAAGTCGAGTAGAACATAAAAAATGACTACTACTCGAGATAATGATGGATGCAAGAGTTTTTAACTTTACAATAACTGATGCCGGGTAAATTTCACCTGCAGTAAATTCTTTTTATTTAATATATATATATATATATATATATAAGGTACTCTGAGATGGCTTCATTTTTGTCATATTGAGCTGGTCTGCACCAGTAAAAACGCCGCACCTTTAAACTCCGATTTTGAAAGCGATATGATAACATATTGTCACTAAGGGTCCGTTTCATAGCACCTAATTTCATGGAAAAATGTTACATCCGAGGAATTCGTTTTCTACCTTGATTGTTTGATACCAAAGTGGAATTGGAGTTTGAATTTCAGAGTACAAACACTTAGAGTTCATTTGATTGTAAGAATGAAATTTGGGTGGAAAAAAACGAATTTCAGGAAATTGAACTGTCTAGAATTTATTTTACTGAGAATTGTCAATTAAATGTGTTTAATTTGTATAATTTTTCACCTGAAAAATGTTGAAATTTTAACTCTTTTGATGTTCATTTGATTTTGTTCTTCATGAAAATTATCAATTAAAGATATATATTTTGTTACAATTGTGAATAAAATTTGTTTCCATTGCAAAAATAATAATAATAAAAAGTTGGAAAACTGATTTCCCACCAAACCCATGAGAATTGGAATTCCACAAAACTAAGGAAAAAGGGGTCACGTGAGGGTGCGTGGGGCGGGGGGAGATGGAAAATCAATTGAAAATTAAATTCAAGCAATCAAACAAGTAAAAAGGTGAAAATGGAAAATCCATCAAATCAAATAGGTCCTTAAAGCATGTTTTTGGCCAATTTCATGAAAATCGAATTTTTTATGGTTTTAGGTGTTTCTTCTTTTCCAACATACATGGAATTGGTTTGTCTTTTCCACCTTTACAATTAAACGAATTCCCTTTAAA